TATTTTAAAACCTAAAAGAAAATGATAAAATCTCAGTGATCCGACCCTGAGACTCAGTCTCTTTGGATACAAACAGTTTTAATGTGACACAGCAACATACGAGTCATTATGTTTATATATTGCATGAACACAGCTGATAGAATTGTCAGTTTAGCTTAGGAAGGTTCCTAACGGAGTGAAATGACCCGGGAGTGCCTCAGTGGCAGCCATGATAAGAGCTGTTGGAATTCTCTATCAGTGCTTCTCAAAGTGTGGTCCTCGGACCACTGGTGGTCCGTGAGCGCCCCCTAGTGGTCCGTGTGTATATTGGTAACATTTCACATTTGAAATTCATTAATTAATTTAAGTTTTCCGCACTCTCGCGGGAATATCTCCGCAATGGAGCGAGTTTAAGTTTCACTTTCGATTGCATGATATAGCCCAGCGCAACACCTTGATCATACATGTTGCCACCTGTTTGTACCATTTTCAGACGATTTGTAATCTGTTCTAAAAAAAACTATGTGTTTTGGGATATTTGTGGAGTTAGGTGGTCCGCGAGTGTTTTTTCATTGGTTAAGTGGTCCTTGGTATGAAAAAGTTTGAGAAACACTGCTCTAGATGATAGGAAAGGAGCTTTGAAACTTCCTTTATAACCTCCTTTAGATTAGGAAACACTCCTTTGATTATGAAACACTCCTTTAGGAAAGGAAAGCAGAACATTTTGCCCCACAATGCCTTGCGGCCGCGACATTAACCTGGACACAACATTCGGCCGTTCACGGAAACAACCGAGAACAAAATATCATGAAAGTTAAGGTGCTTATTAAACATTTTACAAGTTATATTGTAACTTTCCAAAGCAATTTGTTTTGAAAGTTCAACACTATAATAATCAAAAGGCAAAATATGAACGATATTTTTTAACTGTAAAATTATCAAATAAAGTCAACATTTCTCAGTCTTTACTGAGTTGAGGTTTCTTTAACTTTATCAAACACGTTTAATTGGTGATATACACAGTGATAGGTTGAGGCCTAACAAGTTTATAATAAATACAATTGTATTTATTTTTAAATATTTCCATACAATCATGTATTGGGATTCATGTTGATTAAGCGGAAGCAAGTGGGCACAAAGTCTCTTAACTTCCTTTCAAAGAAAAAGACAACACTTTCTTTCTCCATCGCTTTAGTCTGAAGGCCGTTGAGAAAAATGTACAGGACTTAATAAAAGTGGACGAAGCAGAACAACATGGACGGGTTATGGTTTCAACAACATGACCTGTCCAGGAAATCCCCAGTCAGCTGGTCCCTTGACTCAGCCATGGCAAGAGGAATTGCATGAGGAAGAGAGGAGGAAGAGGGGAAGAGGAAGTGGAACGGCCTTTCAGCTCCATGGCCAAAGCACAATCTCTACTTTTTTGTGTGTGTGATGATTTCCCATGAGTTCCTACACATGAGGACGTGTACGGCATCTCAATACGGAAGCAATTCCATCACAGATAGTGATATTTATTATAAACGCTCAACTCTTCATACCCTTTTGTTCTGTTCAGCTCACCCAGCACTTACATCACTTCCTGTGTCAATTTCCAGTGAAGACAGCGCCGGATATTATGAGCAACGAGTGTTGAAGCTGCTGTGAAGTGTTTTATATATCATTTTGTTCCATCACTTCAAAATCTTTATATTTGTATTGAGGGATATGAGTAACTAACATTTCATTGTTCGTGTGAAAGGCAATTCAATAGCAACAGCAGTGAATGTGTTAGCCACAACCTACTGGCACATGTAGAATACAAGGGTGAAGAAAACTGTTCATCCTGTCTTAACCCTAACTCATGCAGAGGGCACAGGTGTGCACATGTGTGTGTGAGTGTGAACAAAAATTGAACAAAAATGTGTATGAACATACAAAGTTAAAGTAAGAATTTGCATTAATAAAATCTATTTATATAAAGATATATAAGCATAAGAAGTTAAGATAATTTCCAATTAATTAAATCAAATATAACAAATATATTTAAATAACTATAAGAAGCAAAAATATCATACAAATATTTCAGTAAATATAAGATGTTAAAATAAAAGAATGTCCTATCGTGGGGATGCAATAATCTATAGACAATGTTTTACTAGATAGATAATAGATAAAGTAGATAATAATGATATTAATAACTGATCTGATTACATCTACGACTGGTGCATTAGACTTAAGGGTGTTGATAGGATATCTAAGGGCCCAATGATTTTCCAATATGGATGTTCGTAATTACAAGGAAGAAGGCAGGGTATAGTGTTTAATTTGAATTAGGTTTAATTTTTTTTTTTATTAAGGGTCACCAGGCTTATTCCAAGTTAAAGGCCACTCATGGCTGCAGGGGTTCAGGTAAAGGACCTCCCAAGTTACCTTCAGATACAATAAGAAGGTAAGTCTTATCAAAAGTAGAACACTGCTGACCTCTGTTGGCTAAAATTGGAACTGCACATGAATGGAGGTGTCTGATCTGAAGGAGGCACGAACACAGCGTAAGACAAGCCTGCTGACTTTCATTGCTTTCTCTGTGCCTTCTATAGATTAGCACAGTGGTGAAAAAGTACAAGACATAACTTAATTAAAGATAGCCTTCAAAATATACTCAGAGTCCAAAAATTAAAAGTAGCCTATTTCTGAATAATAATTATATAATATTACTGCACTATGAGTATTGATGCATTCAAGAGTCTATAGCAGCTGACATTGTGTGTATATATGTAGAACAACTAGTTGCTAAAGCTCTCAGATAAATAATAATAATAAATAATATTTATATATGTGCTTCTCTAGAACTCAAAGACGCTTGTAGCAGAGTTAAGAGTACAAAATGTACATCCAAAATGTAGTGGAGTAGTATAAAGTAGCATACAATGAAAAGTAAAATAACCCTCACAATTGTACTTCATTGTACTTGAGCAAATGTACTTCATTACATTCAACCAATGGAATAGCACAATCCAGATTTTACAGGCTTGAATAAGCAAAGAGGAGAGTATGATAACACTCGGACAGACAAGATAAGAAAACTATGAAACAAGGTGATGTCAGGAGTTGGTAAATAATCTTATATGTCAAGGTGACATTAAATGCTATTTTTTTTTAATGTCCTGCTTGTAAAATAAAGGATCTTATCAGACCGACCAGGGTTACCTTTGGTCACATGCTGGAAAGGAGAGCATTTATCACTTGTGTTAATGCAATTGCTTTTTTCCAGCTGATTAAAGAAAAAATATGTTATATTTTATTATATATTTTGTATGTTATATTTATTTATATAATTCATAACAACATATATAATGCCCTCCTCCAGTCACCTCTCATGTTCTTGAACAAACCAGCTTTGGTACATAATCCTCTTCGGCAATCTGGGCTAAATATTGACTGTTCCAGTGTGTTTCAGGAAGGTTGTGTTTTAAATGTGGATTATTTTAGGTCTACACTGATGTAAAGAAAGCTCAGGGGTCTATCAATGCCAGAAAATACTGTTTTGGTCAAGTTTTTTAATAATCTGTTTATGTTTGCCTGCAAATGCCTGCTCTATTTATATAAAGCTTTAAAACCAGTGTGGCTGAAAAATAAAAGGTATTTAACAGCTTGTTCACACAATGACATCCAAGTCTGTCTTTCTTTTTTACTCTCTCATGCAGACGCTTACAATCACAATTGGCTTAGGCTTAGAAAAAGACCAAAATAACGTGTCACTGCCAGCCAGCCAGAAGGCACAGCATATATAGAAAGAAAATACAGTTTACAGACACCACATTGGCCATGAACATGGTCCAGGTGCTGGCAACTTTCCTGTCAATGCTGTAAAACTCTGACGTTTTAATTCCTACTTAGCAATTGGATCAAACTCTCCATCTTCACTATTCATAGCTCACTGTACACTTTTAAAGCCTATCTTTAGAACTTGATTTGAGTATTACAACAGTGTGTGATGCATATGACTCAGAAATATGGGGGAATGCGTTCCTCCCTATTCAAATTATGAGATGGTTGCAAAGAGACAATGAACAAGTCTGACTGATGGAATGCTGTCCTACAATGTTTGCTATGCCTGTATGGACACACCTGTGACACACACCTGTGACACAAACACACACGCACGCATGCACGCACGCACGCACACATACACACACACACACACACACACACACACACACACACACGTTAAGAAGATGTTATGTGTGTATACTACTTAGCCATCATAAGTAATTCCCAGTGACTTTCATTACAAATAAGTATAGGTTAGTTTCTTGAGGAGAACCTGATTAACCTGAGAGGTCTGTTCAGTCACTTACAGCTCAAACAGAATAGACGCTAATGTTTTATAACAAGAGTGTCCAGGTAATTTGAAATTCGAAAGGAGACATAAGCACTGCTGTGAGCCTTCATGCCATTTGATACACTCCAAAGAAACAAGGCCCATCCTGTTGCATGTCATTTCAGTGAACACTTGGGAAATATATGAATTATGATTAAGGCGGCTCTGCCCTGTTGCCGTCACCTCACATTATGACTTTGTGAGCAGTATGACTAGCCTATACTTTTCAGCTAAGATGGGAGAAGTAGGCTACTCAGATCTTCTAAGTAAAAGTAGAAATGTACTTAATAAGAGTAGGATTACTATTTTCTTGAATACTGCAGGGAAGCTTTTGAATGTTACTCCTTGAGTGTAACTAACATCTTATGTAAGTGTCCTTTATATTTCTCATTATTAATCCAAATCTGCAAAGTAACTAAAGGTATTAAACAAATGTGGTGGAGTAAAGTACACCATTCACCTCTTAATTTGAGTGTGGTAGTACAAAGTAGCACAAACATTTGAAATACTCAAAGTACAAGTCCATCAAAAATGATACTTAAGAACAGTACTTGAGTAAATGTACTTAGTTACTTTACACCACTGGTTTTCAGACCGGAGTAAAGGGTCTTTCTGTGTCGCTGGCAAGTAAAGCCGCCTTGGTCACACCCTTCCCAGCTTCCCCCTCCGCCCGCCATGTTCTGGAGGAGGAGATACGTGTAGCCTCCTGGCTTTAGCTGGCTTAGCATTAGCAACACATAGCTAGGCGGAGGCGCAACAAGCTCTCCGAACGCCGGAATAAGTACTCTATCTTGATTTTTTCCCTTGGGTTTGGAGAAACTCGTTTATGGGTATATTTTCCTGGACTAAAAGTTGAACCCGACGTAGCCCAAATATATGGTAAGTTAACGTCGGCTTTCAAGACAGTCGAGTTGTTTTGTTTTTTTCCAGGGTGTCCTGTAATCCAGTTTGCTCTGGTGATGTCTCCACCGAGCACCCGTCTTGGATGCTAGCTTGAAGGATTGCTAACTAGCTTAGCATCCTAGTGGCTGTCTAGCTAAACGGAATAGTTCTGTATCTTGGTGTGGGATTGCCTGTAAATCCCCAAAAATACAAGCTGTGTATAACACTAGATGCTAAGTGATCAACAGTTGAATGTTTAAGCCAAACTACAGGGGTGAGGAGATACACCGCTGGCTAACCTAACATAAGCTTTGCTAGCTTTGATCCAACTTTTTTACAAAGACAAGTTTTGATCTTTTATGATAAATGAATGTTAGTCAGCCGTTATATCTACGGGCACACAATCAAATTGGTGACAAGACCAACTACATATTAAATCAAAATGTAGTTTTGTTGTGCTTTTCAAATCACCAGACTCAACTAAGTAAAACACTGTAAGCAAGTTGCCCGCTAGCTTATTTGGCTAGCTACTGACAACTAACGTTACTTGCTGCAAGTTTGCACTCAACTTGCTAGCTAGGGTTAGCGGTAACCGTTAGCGACGAGGTGACTATTTATTCAAACGACTGAATTAAAATAGCAATTCACACACTTGGATTTATTCTTCGTTTAACATTATTTCGCTATCCAACCCGGTCTATTGCTTGAAGAGGGACATTATTGAGGCTTACTAGTGTTAGCTAACTCTTCTTTAGCTTGCTACTAATCACATCAGTTCATTTAAACGCCGTGATTTGTTTCCTTTTTGTAAAGGGACGCTTTGATTACTTGTATTTCCTTTACAACTGCACCATGCTTTAATATAGATAACGACTATGTTAGGTCATACTATTGTGAGTCATCAAGGCAAAACTTGACTTCCTTTTATTGATATTTTATGATAAATTATTTTACGATGTGGGCGCTGTCTGTTTACTTGCTCCGTTTCCAATCGACCATCCGTAATGGCATTTAAGCCAACTATGCTGTGAGACACTGAACAGTTGTAGGGTTTGTTTGTTTTATGGGGTATGGTCGAAGATGCCTGTGTCTGGGTCATACAGCCTGTGGGTTGGGTGTAAGCTTTGTATTCAGAGCTGCACTGAGCCCATTTAAACGTGGCCTGAGAGAGGGGCAGGGCTTTGTCTATCGTCAGGACGATCAGTCAGTGGGTGACGGATGCATCACCCTGATTTAGCTTTGTCCCCCAGCCGGCCAAGCAGGACAATAGGTGGCTTCTCCTTCCTCCTCACTGCTTCTGCCTTAATGCTCCTCATAACTTAAGGACAGCCACTATAGGTGTCTTTGAACACGTGTTGATTTGTGCGGGTTAGACTTGATATACTTTTTATTTGCCTTGACAGCATTTCATCTTTGAGTAGTTGAGTGTTAGTGGATTAATCACTGTTATACGGTGCTTGTTGTTGCACTCAAATTCAGTTTAAAGGAAGTAAATGGATGGCTGGATAACTTTATGTCAAGCTGTAGCACACTCAATGCACTCAAAGATATTGGTTCACAGGTATACCGGGTATACCACATACCCGGTTGTGAAATCATTCTATCTCCAGATCAGCTTTACTCTTGTTGTTTGGGTCTGGCTCGGTAGACCTGTTCTCGGTCTACAGCTTTTCAACCCTTAATGCTCATCACAGTTTACCTAGGTTTTGCCCACACACACACACACACACACACACACACACACACACACACACATCTAGCTTGTGCTCTTGCATCAGACAGTGGTGGATTTTTATTTAGAGTGGTGCAGTGATGACGTATGTTAATGGCCAGCCCAGAAGGAAGTATCGCAGGCCAGGGGCTCCTTCAGAAAATGATATTGGGATTTAGCTTTTGGAATATAGCAAACAAATAAGATCAGGTGCAAACAGACGTTTATGCCACTTTCATGTTTTATTGCTTACGTAACAAACAAACGACATGGTTGCCTGACTGAACGTCACAACCGCTAAGCAAAAGGGGGACTAGTATTCTGTGTGATGAAGTTTAGTAGTCATATTGAGTCTCTTGTAAGCAACTTCTGTTTTTAAGACACACACAAGCTTCAGACATTCACGAGTGGGGTATTACCGATGTATTTAATGTTGTAGAACTAAATAAAAATCATTGTAAGCTTGAGTTAAACACAGACCTTATTTTAGGCATCCAAATTGAAAAACCATTGACTTTTAGACAAGGATTACTCAAATGCTAACCCATTTTCGGACACTTTCACTTTTCACTTTACGGACTGTAGGTTGTGGCATTGTCTCACACATTGTTCTTGTCCTCAGTCTCATAAAATGTTTCTATTATGGCCTCTAGTCTGGCATATATTTGCATTCGCACCAATGCGGTTCTGTCGTCTCATCTGTCTGCCCCACAATCCAAATCTTGAGTGTATGACGACAGACCCTGGTAAGATTATTTGCATTCTTTCTTTTTTACACTGTGGCATCACATCATACTGGTCGTGTGCTCTGTAATTCATATGTAGGTCATTCACTAACACAGTTTGAGATTTCAGTTTTAAATCTAGTGCGATTTGGCGTTTTAGCTGACGTACTTGTAGCATCAACAATTATTGGAAATGGATCACACTTTAAGTCGTTGATGTCATTCATCAAAAATGCTGTGATTATAACACTCCTGCAGATCAGGTCCTAATGTTGTAAGTACCTCTGGTCAATACATCGATTTACAGTTCGGCAAGGAATTGAACCTGTTGATGAGCACATCGCAACAAGAGAAGGACATGCATTTGCTATAAACTTGAAATAATTGTGTTTAGTCTGTTTTATTCACTTATTGATAGAAATGACTTTGCTAGTTGACTCAGGCTAAATGTCCCCCCAGATATTGTAATGATAGCCCATGCTGGTACTTCAACATTTCCTTTTATTGTTATAAATGTAAACATGACGGTACCAAATTATATTCTAGTTATTTTTTTGTGATGAAGGAACGTCGTCACCTCCTCGGTCGACCACGGTGTGCTTTTCTTATTAGACGTAGCCATTTTTGTAGCTCATCCGTTTACAAAATGCTGCAAGCTTGCTTCTAGATATATATGCGACGCTAGGGATGAACTCGCGCGCGATCTTGTGACGATTCTCTCTGACCAATCAGCAGTCGAGAGTGTTGACGTCACTAGTTCAGCCCTGGCCCTGGTCTGAGGGAACCACGATTTTATGAGGCCGGAAAAAGAGGGAAAAAGTACCCGCTGGCCGGTACTAGGCTATATGGAAACGCCACCAAAAACTGGCCTGGCCGCTTGAGGACAGTTAAGGACGCTTAAACGGGGCTACCCGCTGCAGTGGAAACGCGCCATTAGATTACTGTGTAATGGCGCGTTTCCACTGCAGGCCTCGCTCGGCCTCGCTCGGTTTGGTTAGGCCTTATTAGGCCCGGCTCACTTTAATGCTGCGCTTCCATTACAGTTTAGGAACTGGGGTAGTTACTATAGTAACGCAGTGTAGGCGGAGCCGTGACGTCTTCTTCAATGAGAGCCCCAGAAAAACAACACAGCCGTTAGCTCTTAGCACTCAGAGCTCACAGCTCCTCATATCTGTTCAGAAACTAGACAAAAGTTAAACAAGTACAAACCACAGACTGCCTGTGTCATGGCGAGTACAGTCGCTGGTTTATTTATGTCTGTATAGGCCGTTGTTGTGAGTGTGGACGGTCGGAGCATATATAACGTTAGCTTAGCCAAGCTCCATTTAGAAAACACGCATTTTAAAGGGTTTTTCGCCTGCCGTCTGTCTGCAGACTTGTCAAAGCATTAATTCATGGTTTTTACTAACCGGTATCAGTATGTTGTTACTTCGGCATCATTTTGAAACGTGTATTACAATTAAATCACGGTCAAATATGTTCATCTTGTTGTAGTTGTAGCCCCCTTGCCAGCGATTCTCTCTCTAGTTTAGCATACTCAGCCCGACTCAGCCTGGTTGTTCCTGGCCCTAGAACCACGATTTAGTCGGGCCAGAAAAAAGGTGAAAAAGTAGCCCGGGCCAAAACTAGGCCAAGTGGAAACGCAACCAAAAACGGGCCCCCCACGGCTCGGCACGCTTAAAGCGAGCTACCCGCTGCAGTGGAAACGCGCCATAATAGTGCACGCGACTGTGTTGTTCTGTGTGGAACAAATGTCTCCTTTCTAATGTTTTTTGCAATGACGTACAATAACAAAGTAGTTTATCTCCTTTTAAAAACTCTGAACTGAGCCCATCTGGTATTTGCAGTTGCGTTTCCTGCTGATACTACAGTACTGTCCTTCTCATGCCTTCATTAGAGCATTTCTTCATGAACTTGATGCCAGAAAAGACAGCAAAATGTGTTAAAGTCAACATGAATTAAAAGAAAATATAGGTTTAGTATGTAGAGATAACAATGTTGAATATAAAAGAAAAGAAAGTCAAATATCTTTGAGACATAATGAAGCCTGAAAGGATATATTTATATTTCTAAACACACACACACGTCTTGTGTGCTGTCTCTTCTGGGCCTTGGGGGATCTAAGCACAGAAGGGCTGGAGGAAGGCGGGCCAACAGTGCCTTGTGGGTTTTTTTTTCCCGGGGTGTGAAGGAGGTGTGTGGGGGGCTTGGATGGACCAGACAGACTCTCCTCTCTTCCTCCTGTCTGCTATGGGTGAATAGGTGATTATAGCAGCAGATGTGTCATTAGGTCTGAGCAGTATTCATGCGGATGCAGGGTGAGGAGTGGGGGGGAGAAGGGTGACGAGGGAACGTTTGGGGGGCACGCTCCACAGGAATCACATTTCACTAACGTTTAGTCAATTTAGGGGATGTGCCAAGTTGTTTTCTTACCCCCCCCCCGAACAGTCTCACGCTCCTCTTCGTTTCCTCACCCTCGTCCACCCCAGCTGTCTTTCCATGGCATTGCTAGGCAGGAAGTTCCTTGAAACAAATGCATACAAGTGTGTAAATCTCTTCATCGCCATTTGCTACTTTTGAAATTGAAAAATTGTGTTGCATTCACCACAGAGTCTGCAAAGACTGCTAATCACGTCTAGAACCCGTCCCTTGGTAATGAAAGCAGGAGGTTGTGGGGCAGGTCGGTACACGCTTGGCGCAGGGATCAGATTACTGAATAGGATAAGTCATCTCGGGTCTAGATGGTAGTCTGAGCAACAGTGGGCACAAACAGATCCTTATTCAGAAAAAAGGATTCATTTAAAAAAGGATTTGGTGAGGGTGCAGTCAGGTGATGTAAACTACGACAATATGTTTGATGGCACTAGTGGGTGGAGAATACGCTGGGCAAAACATCCTAATCAGTGTACGTTCATTTATTATCCTCAATATTTAGTTAACAATTATTTATATTAGCGTCTTATTAAGTTAAGACGCTAATATATGAAGAGCTTTTGTAAACTTTGTGGAGTTAACAATTTAATCATAAATAAATTAACTTGTAGATATGAATCGTGATTAAGCTGCATCAAAAAAGTCACTCCCACCTGGTGACGAGACAGAGTTCGGGTTTTCAAACGGCTTGACCGGCTTCTGACCACACCCCCAAAGCACGGAGGGCAGTCCACTTCGGATTGAAGTAGCAACGGGAAAAAGGCGGCCAGTACGTTTAGGTGCAATGCTCACAGCTGTACCTGCCACCCCAGGGCTCGACATTAAGGACCGCCCGATGGCCCGGGGCCATCTAGTGTTTAGCTCGGGCAATGAAGCCTCACCTGCTGGTTGCCCGATCGGGCAATCTATTGTGCCAGTCTCATGCAGCTCGGGGATCAGTAATGAGTGACCCGACAGTAAAACTAAACATATCTATAACTAGTGTAGGTAGTTTGAGAGGTCATTAAAATAGCTACGTGTGATATTCTAACCTGAAGTGTGTTTTGTTCGCTCACCGCTGCATGTGATCATGCAGAGCTGCGTGTCGACCCGTCAGCAGCAGCTGATCTCTCTCTCCCGTCAGATTAGACTTCACTCTCGTTTATGTCCACATCGATCAGATCCATGCCATGCACTGACCCACCTTCGTTTGCAGCCTTCCTGAGCCGACCTAGTGCTGGATGGGCTGCACCGAGCGAGGGCCAGCCCGCACGGAGGAGAGGAACAAGTGGTGCTGGATTTATAACTAAACAACACGAAAGCATCATGAAACAGAATGCATCATCGTTTTATCTCAATGATCTTGTTTTCATAAACATCATCATGATACTAATCTGCCTGAATGACCGAGCCAATCAGATGCTTGCTCATTGGAATGAACCGTTCTGTCCGAGCGTGCCGTGTTAACATAAGCCACACCTCTTGGTGAACAGAAGCTGCATGAACGGTAAACGTGTGTTTCATAACTTCACAGTAAAGTGACTTTTTCACGCTTCAGAGAGTTTGCATATGGAATGAAATCTGTAGGCGTCACGCAGCTGTGCATCGCTACAATATCTCCATACTGGTGAGTGTCAGGAAGTGATTGGTCTCTGTGCTGCTGATCTGATAGAAACAGGACGAGTCACTTGTGTATTCTTCATCTGACATTCATTTCTCCTGACACCCACCAAAGAGTGGAAACACATTTTTACTCACTGTGTGTTCTGGCGTCTCTCATAATGACTGTTAATACTGTCGTTATGGGGAAGAGCGTCGATAAAGGCTCGTTAAATACTGCTTGAGAATTATAAATAAGGAAAACATTGATTCCACAAAGCTGGCAACAACAAACCACGTTGTGATTGAGGTTATTCTTCGCAGTATCGTAAGAAAAGAATCACCACATTATTTGATTATCTTTTGAGACTCAGACAATTGTTGTATTTTCTTTTTAAACTCTTTAAACATTTATTTTATGTTTTTCCCGTCGCATTGATCTTCTATTTTATTCCCACCAATCTTGCGTTTTCTTCGAGTGTCCTGCGATCTTTGCTCCTATGTCTTGCCCTCCAAGCCCACCCACTACGCAACTTAACCACCACACAGACCTGACTGCTCTTATGTTGTTCATGTTCAGCACCCTGCCTTGTCATTTGAAATTCAGTCGGGTTACTGTAAACTCAAGTGAGATAACAACCGTGGAAAAACCACCTGGCCCCAGTTAATAAGAAGGAGGCATGGAAATTGCTTATCAAAGTGTGAAAGCATGACACATTGTTTGGTCTAGTTTCAGAAAGGAAGGCCCGACAGCTGCTCGTATAAATACAAATGATATTTTCGATTTCTTTGTTCATAATCTTTAAGAAAGTCACTGGCTCTGACTACCAGATGTTCATAGTTTCTCCTATATTTCCTTAAGAAAGGTAGCTTGAATCAAATATTTAAGGGATTTGGATTAATAATATCATTGGCATACAACATCAAGTTGTTGTCTTGTTCCTTCCACTAACCTGGTATTTGTCTGTTTGTTCCAGGTGATGGCGTGGTCACATGTGCAGCCAGCACTGTGTGTGTGGAGATGGTTTTAACAGACGCTGCTCTGGAGGACTCAGGAACACTGCACTGGCCTGGCGAAGCCTCATAAACAAACACACACAGCGCTGTACACAAGAAGATTTTCGTGCCACCGCCGTGCCTTGAGAAAGGACACAGGCGCACGGACACATAACTTGAGCTTCACCTGAAGCACACACAAACACGTATACACCCGCTGTGTTCTCTACCTAAATATTTTTGGGGTCATAGATTCTCTCCTGTGTGAGAGTGTACGTTTTTGTTTCTTCCCACTTGTCCCATCTCCGCCGCCACCATGCCGAGCTCCACCATTCGCCGGCAGATGAAGAACATGGTGAACAACTACTCGGACGCAGAGAAGAAAGTCCGAGAGTCCACCTCCAACGACCCCTGGGGCCCGTCGTCCTCGCTCATGTCCGAGATCGCCGACCTCACCTACAACGTGGTCGCCTTCAGCGAGATCATGAGCATGATCTGGAAGCGGCTCAACGACCACGGCAAGAACTGGCGCCACGTCTACAAGGCGCTCACCCTGCTCGACTATCTGATCAAGACGGGCTCAGAGCGAGTGGCGCTGCAGTGCAAAGAGAACATCTTCGCCATCCAGACCCTAAAGGACTTCCAATTTATCGACAGAGACGGCAAGGACCAGGGCATCAACGTCAGGGAGAAGAGCAAGCAGCTGGTGGTCCTACTCAAAGACGAGGAGCGCCTCAAAGGAGAGAGGTAAGACACTTTTTTAATCAAAAACTCAGAAATATTAGAGGTTGACTTTTGCGATAAGCCTGTAATCATGCCACGTTATTATGTCCTACTGGAAAAGCCTGTGCCCAACTTTTTTTTACAAAAGTCAGGTTTCTCGACTAACTTTTTTCACCATCCTCCCGGAAGCGTCCCGAAATACAATCTCTAAGCCGTCCCGAAATTAATGTGGACCGTCCCGAATTAAAATATTAGTTTTTCTACATTATCATTAGTTAAAATCATTCAAAGTGACCTTTAACATAAATAAAACATCGTACAAATCTAGATGATAATTCATCAACCTTTTTATTTGAGGAAATCAGTAAACAGAAACAAAGGCCAAATATATTTAAAAAACACACAACCGAGAAAGTTACTCTAATATTGAATCCAATCAAGTCTCATCCAATTAACAAACACATCCAACACTGTGTCCTGAAGACAGAAGACAGAGTAACCAGGATGACCGTCTGTAACACAGTCAGGAGACCTGTACAAACGGCCCCGCCCCCTCGCACACAGACGGGAGAGTCTGGATTGGTCTTATTGCGGAGTTGGCGAAACTAAAACTGCGATATAATCTTTATGTAGCAATAATACATCGGATCTTAACGGTACCACGTTCTTTAATAATTCCTGTGTGTGGTGTTGTGTGTGTGTTTGTGTGTGTGTGTTGTGTGTGTGTGTGTGTGTGTGTGTGTGTGTGTGTGTGTGTGTGTGTGTGTGTGTGTGTGTGTGTGTGTGTGTGTGTGTGTGTGTGTGTGTGTGTGTGTGTGTGTGTGTGTGTGTGTGTGTGTGTGTGTGTGTGTGTGTGTGTGTGTGTGTGTGTGTGTGTGTTGTGTGTGTGTGTGTGTGTGTGTGTGTGTGTGTGTGTGTGTGTGTGTGTGTGTGTGTGTGTGTGTGTGTGTGTGTGTGTGTGTGTGTGTGTGTGTGTGTGTGTGTGTGTGTGTGTGTGTGTGTGGAACTCTGAATTATGTGCTCATCCAATCAAAATGGCCTCTTAATAGATATTTACTGAGAAGGAGCCATTGGCTAAAATGTGTCCTCTTTTTTTATTTTTTATCAAGCAACATCATGTATTCACTCTTGTATCTGCTCTGGTGCTGAAAACTACCAAAGCCAACCAAATTCCTCTTCCTCCCTGATTCCCCCCAAAGAATCTGGGCCTTCCAAAATCATATCAGTTGGCCCGGGGGGGGGGGGGGGGGGTGATTCACCATTTGTTTGGCAGCATGTTTAATTCTAATTCATGATTTTTTTGGGGAACTATTTAAAACCCTGATTCTCATGGCTGTTTTAGAAATAGACTTCGTCTCACTCGTGCAAATGTCCACTTCTAAAGACTATTTCCCCTTTTCTTTTAATACCTTATGCTTACGTTGTCTTTTTGTCACACGAAGGATTAGAAGAATCTTAGTTAAGACAAGATTGTTGTTCAGTAGCTGATGCTGTGTTGTATTTGTTGTCCTTCTAGGTCTCAGGCTTTGAAGACCAAAGAGCGCATGGCCCAGGTGTCCACAGGGAGCAGTCAGATGGGTTTTGGTCGAGGCTCGTCTCAGCCTAACCTCTCCACCTCCTACAGCGAAGAGTACGGCAGGTCGGAGGGCTCACCTGCCTCCTACCATGGCTGTGAGTATTGCGTTATAGTCGCCACAGAGGCTGCACACACACACACACACACACACACACGGCTCGTTTCATCTGTGTAAGAAGCCCATATGATACCAAATATTCCATTATATTGTATTGTGCGTCCCAGTTGGTGAAACTTTGGCCTACATCCTGAAACCTGCCCCTCCCCCTGTTCTGTCTCTGGCTCACAGTTCCGCAGTAGGGCTGCATTCCTCAGCACTCACACACATTCACTCTCTCTCTCTCTCTCACACACACACACACACACACACACACACACACACACACACACACACACACACACACGGAAGAGGAAACAGAGTTCACCCCCTCCAGTCTCTATCATCCACACGACAGAGGAATCTGCTCCTCTTTTCACTGATACTCTCACTCCTCCAGAGACATGGAGAGGGAGAGATTTTGAAACACACAGTGACAGACAGTGCAATACTTGCATCTCTTGTTCGACTAAGATACACTCGCTGAAAAGAGAGAAGTTATTGGAACCTGATTTGGCTAACCTTAAGAAGAGGGAAATAGAAATAAATGTGTTTTTTTTAATGACGTGGTTTAGGGCTTCACGATATTGGAAAAAGCTGACACTGCGATATTTTCTTCCCTTGCGATAAATATATATATATATAAATTGCGATATGAAAAAATACAGGAATTGAAGAAAAGACAGTTTTTTTTGTCCGCAAACCATCCTTTCTTGAAATGTAATGATACAATTGGTATTTTTTTTTTCAATATTTAACCGAATGAAGGATTTTAGTCACGGACTTCTGGATCTTAAGTTATCAGAGCAACAAGCTGAGCTAGCTCGGTTATCCTGCTGTGATCTGATCAAGGAGGTTGTGATTAGTGGTTGGCTGTGCATTAGAGCCGGCATGTCACTCACTCAAGTACCCCTGACATGAGAGCCGCGCAAGCATCAAAAATAATTGTAACATGACGTGTTTGAGTTAATTTGCCTACTTAATATCGCACGTCCTGCGATGTCAATATGGCGCATGCGCATACCGCGATTATCGTTACGACACGATATATCGCGCAGTCCTAATGTGGTTTATTTTCTACATATGCACTCTTCGGCTCCATTGCATGATATATCCATTCGTCTGATATCTTTAATATTCCATATCGCATAATTCCTCCCTCCCACTCTGGAAGGGTTTCTTTACTTGCATTTCTACTAAATGTCTTGTTTCCAATATCTCATTCTAACAGTTTTCAAATGGTTTGAAAGGAAGATGGAGGGAGAGAGGCGTAGAGTTGAAAAGAAACAGAAATCCCAGGCAGGAAGTGGGGTAACTTAGAGGGGAAGAATGGAGAAGATGAAATGAAAAAGTGAACCATGGCCCCTTCTCCTTTTCATCCTCTGACCCCTAGTCCTTTGTGTGTGTGTGTGTGTGTGTTCTACGTGTTGCATTGAGTGTGTGTTCATCTTTTACTCTGGCCCATATTCCTGCATGTGCGTTATGCTTGAGCATGGGGCCCAGAGACGGAAGCTCAGGCAGCTGAGTCATTAGTTGAGAAAACTGAAGGAGAGCCGGGCCAATAGGAGGCTGGCCTGTCGCTGTGGGCGTTTTCAGGGGGGATTGTTGCCATTCCAGCCGAAATGTTTTAAGTGTTGTTGTCCAGACAGTGTGTGAATGAACGGCCATGCAAGTGGGACTGTTGGTGTTTACCTAGCATAACCCACCTGACCCCAAATAATCTAAAAAAGTTGGAACTGGCTTGCTCCAATAACTGTAATTGTTCTGAATTCTAATGATATGATTACACCGCGTTAGTGCCAATGTGTGCTTGTGTGCCAACGACTAAGCACATGTTTATTTAGACTGTAGTTTCCCTGAGGTTAATGAGCCAAAGATAAAGGCAGGTTTCGTTTCTGTTTTTTTGTTTATAGTTCAATGACTCCCTTTCCCCTCAGTACACAAGCTAACATGGTTAATTGCTTTTAAATCCCGTTATGAGTTCAAGCAGTTCACCTAATCCAAGTCAACACGCTTGATGAAGTTCTGTTTCTATACGTTGTCTTATCTGAGTAAAATCTCCAGGGCTCCAAGTATGTTCTCTGTGGAACACCAAACTCATTCCTCTTTAGTTGTTCCTCATTCCTCTGACTGGTGATCCCCTTTCTTTACATGCAACATTCTTCCTTCCTAAAAATCTACATTTAAGAACCCGCCCCAGTCACCAGCTTCCAAGCAGCCACCTCATTCTATATCTAAGGAGACAAGAGGCTGGGTGTCGCAGATGTTGTGGTAGACGCCCTGAGGATAACAATCCTATACACTGGTGGTCATCCGCCCATTTCACTTTCCCCAATACGCATGCTGCACTTAAAAACGTGGCTTTGACTGAAGGGTTTGGAGGATCAGTGTTGTGCTTATTCGCCCAGAGATAAAACATAACATGCAGAAAATTGAAATGATAGATAAGTAATTACTGGAACTAACAGCTAACACACACAAGAGTAGGAAACGGTAGACCTAGGAGAGTAGCTTTTTCAAAATGCCTGTTTCTGCTCGCAGGCTCAGCTTTTTCCGTGAGGAATGCAAAGAACTTGTGATTATCCTTATATGGTCCATTCCCACAGTGGTGGGCAAACTGTTGTGTTTTAGTTGGACTTGAGTTTTGTTTATTTGTCTTTCTGACTCGCTCCTGTCCTTTATTGTGTTGGCAGTTCGGTCTTTCTTTAGTGGTTGGAAACGGTTGTTTAAGTCTTCTTTTGCCTTGCAGTTGTTTTTGGAGAGACTAATGTAATGTAACGCATCGATCAAACATGTAAATGGAAGATATTGGCAAATGTCTGAACATCATAGAATAAATGGCATTGTAGACACTTTGTGTGACCCTAAGAACAGATCTCTCTGTCTGTTTTGTAATGGTTTAGATAAAGCATATACATCAGTTGCAGGGTCACATTGTCTTCCTATTTAGGCTTTAGTGCCACTGTGGTCCCTGTCTATTTAAGGCAGACATGTAGCTGAAGTTGAGGCAATGGCTCAAGTCCCACCAGCTAACAAAACACACCTTTACCCTTCGTCCTTCTGATCAATTTCCCAAGAGATACACAGCCTGGAGATAGAGCTTGGGAGACATGGGACTACGGAACAATAGGGCCTGAAAGGAGCTAGTTAGTGAGCCCAGGAGTCAGGAGAGGAGACAAGAAGTGTTTTTTTTTTATTAAGCTAGTTTATCCTTGTGTCCTCACGCGACCCAGAAACCGTTCCATCTCTGCCATCATGGAGGATCATCCCTGTTGGTGAGAGTAAAAGGACTTCTGGAGTCTTTTCATCTTCACATCTGATCGTGACACAAAGCTGTGTTATGGCGCGTTTCCACTGCAGCGGGTAGCCCCGTTTAAGCGTCCCTAAGCGTCCTCGGGCTGCCTCGCTGGCCGGCCCAGGCCGTGGCGCATTTCCATTACAGTTTAGGACCTGGGGTAGCAACGCAGTGTAGGCGGGCGATCGGCTTCACATTTCGAGTTGTTCCGTCGAGCTCCCGCTGGATTTGATCATCCCCAATGAGATGTAGGAACGTCGTCACCTCCTCGGTCGACCACGGTGTGCTTTTCTTATTAGACGTAGCCATTTTTGTAGCTCCTCCGTTTACAAAATGCTGTTTATAAAAATGCTGCAAGCTTGCTTCTAAATATATATGCGACGCTAGGGATGAACTCGCGCGCGATCTTGTGACGATTCTCTCTGACCAATCACCAGTCGAGAGTGTTGACGTCACTAGTTCAGCCCTGGCCCTGGTCTGAGGGAACCACGATTTTATGGGGCCGGAAAAAGAGGGAAAAAGTACCCGCTAGCCGGTACTAGGCTATATGGAAACGCCACCAAAAACTGGCCTGGCCGCTTGAGGACAGTTAAGGACGCTTAAACGGGGCTACCCGCTGCAGTGGAAACGCGCCATTAGTAAACAGGAACTGTTGTTGCTTCTAAACTGAAGCTCTGGAATTAAGGATTATTTTATTTGGCAGCTGTGGCTCCACTTTTCTTTCAGGGCATACCTCCGAATAATTAGGTTTTAAGTTTGAAACAGCTTTCAAAGAATGGAAAGCCTTTGAACTGTTCAAGGAACGTCCTTGTTAAGAACAAATGATTGGTACCATTTACTCGTCATCATGGAAACACTGGTTACGGCAAATCTACACGGTTTTAATAAAAGAAAACTCGATGTGACGTCTGCTTCTGATAGGACCGGAGGATGTTTGCCAAAGAGGTTTTAAAGTTAGTTGTAGTGAAACTCACCATCGTTTCCCTAAGTCATATCTGTGTCAGTGTTGTTGTTGTTTTGTCTCTACACTAAAGCTTCTTTCTATACATCTTTTTTCCAACCGTTTGCTTTCAGAATCTGAAACGGATGTAACAATATACAAAAGATCATCATGGTGTGATGAGTATTGAGTGAGTATGTTTGGGAGTGTCCACATTAGCAGCAGAAGCAGGCATGTCATGACAGGTCTGTGTTTTCAGAGCAGAGAGAAAGAGATTAGTTGGCAGAAGTAAAGGAGCAAAGTTTATAATCTAAGTTGGAGAACTGAAAGCACTCTTGAGACTGAGAGGAATCGTCAAGGACTAACCTGCACAGGGCATTTCTTTCCAATGCATATGCTAAGTAGTGGATACAATGGCTTTGTATATGAACAGTTGCATACAAAACATTTAATTATGAAAGCATAGGTTTAGTGAACACCCACAGACGGAACTGAAAGGAACTGTAATTTTCAGAACTGATGAAGCAGAATTGTTTGTCTGTCTTGAAAATTCAATATTCATGACATGGTAAACGTGATCATTCTGGATAGTAATACTAATATATCATTTCCATACGGTTTCATTTCTTGTCATCACCGCCCACATCATGGTTCCCACGGAAACAGCAAAGTAACTCTTTCCAAATGAGAAGACACATGGTCCATTCGATGTCACCCACCTTGTGTGTGTGTGTGTGTGTGTGTGTGTGTGTGTGTGTGTGTGTGTGTGGTGTGTGTGTGTGTGTGTGTGTGTGTGTGTGTGTGTGTGTGTGTGTGTGTGTGTGTGTGTGTGTGTGTGTGTGTGTGTGTGTGTGTGTGATCCAATAAGCCACTGAATGCCTCCAACACACACTGTACTTTCTATATATTCTGCATACAGCACACACGTCATTTAAATACAACTTGCTCGAATAGACAATACGTTATTGTGTCTTTTTGGGGGAAGTTTTTGAGTATTAACACACAGACTTTAATTGTTAAGCTCTATTATAGTACGTACACGGCTATGTGATGGGGTTAGTGAAGCAGTGATGCTGACATGTCTTCTCAATGTGTGTTTTAGCCACATCTCCCAACGCGGGTTCAGAGCTGGAGCAGGCCAGACCTCAGACCAGCGGAGAGGAGGAGCTGCAGCTGCAACTGGCTCTGGCCATGAGCAGAGAGGCTGCAGAGCAGGTACGCACACGCATAAATAAATGAAAGATGAATGTAAAACAAGAAGTTGAAATACGTGCATTAAAAACACATTGAAACCCTGTAACATTACCTGCACATTGCCAATGCCTCTTTTCTCAATATACTAGGTTTTCCTTGGTCAATAAACTGTAATCTTCAGAAGCATATTGCACCACCAGCGAAATGGCATTTTCCCTTTATCATGAACTTGTATTTGGAACAATAGGTCAAAAATATTGAGACCATTCTGTGTTATATTAGTTAATATAAAAAGAAGTTGCTCATGTGCTGATTATACTAACTGTGCTCAGGAGGATCGCATACGCAGAGGGGACGACCTGAGACTACAGATGGCCTTGGAGGAGAGTAAGAAAGGAGGGCCTGATTCGGGCAAACTGGCCAAAAGGAAGAAAGAGGTAAAACACATGGAAACTGAAGTGACTGTTGTTCCGTTATCATGACGCTGCTCATTAAAGGTATTTTTCTGCTGCTTCCTGAGCCGTAGTGAAAACTGGCAGCACAGTTTACTCATCGTTATTCTGCCTGAGTAGCAACTGGCTAAAGTGCGGCTCGTGTTTTATCTCGGCACACAACGATACGACCAACAGATGGCCTTCAGCCTTCTTCCCTTTTCATCTCAAATGGTCCCATTTTCCCTCCTTTGTCTGCATTCTTGTTTTGTTTCCTGCTCACTTTCTCCGTCTCTTTCCAGCCACAATCGTCTTTGTTGGATCTGATGGTCGTCCCTGAGCCCGGTGCCACCGCTGACCCCTGGGGCGCAGGGGCCGGAGCCGGAGCCAGGGCCGCCGCCGCCGCACCAGAAGACCCCTGGAAGACTTATGGTACACACACTCATCAGATTATGTCTAACACACTGACTGTCCTTGTTGATTAGTTTGGGTGTGTGTGTGTGTGTTTCTGTGTGTGTGTGTGTGTGTCGTCTCTGCTCTCCACCTGCAGCTCAAAGCACTGAGTCTTTGTGAAATAGGAATGCTGCTCCACTGGCTCAGCAGCTATACTGCACAGAGAGGAGGGGGGGAGGGGGGGAGGGGGGGGGGGGTTGTTAGAGGAAGATTTAGTGAAGGAAGTAGGAGGAGGGAGACTGTGGGGGAGCTGCAGAGGTTAATGTTGAAGATAAAATTAAGAAACATGTATTCTTCCCTATTCCATGACTGATCCTTTTAAAATACTTAGAAGTCTGCTCAGTTCAATAGACAGTAGCTAAGAACACCTTTATGTGTAAAGGAAAACTATGTCAAATATATTTTTGGGTCTTGCAGAGAAATTCTGGCTTACACACTAAATTCAAAAGATGTATTAATGTGAATAGTTTTTCAGAAACGGTCCTTCCCTCCAATATCGCAATTGCAATATTAGTTAAATTAGTTCTTATTCCAATTCATGCAGCCTTATCCATATTAATAACACAATGTTTGTATCGTCTAATTATCCCCCTGTTATTCTGTTTGTATGGCGTAGCTAATTATTTGTCACCTTTTTGTGTTATTGTTGTTGAAACTTTCAAGGAGTTATTCCTTGTAGAGAATATTATAATCCATTAGAATATAAATACATTACCACCAGAACCTGCATGAAAGGACTCATTTGACCTCCTTCCTCCTGCTCTCCTCCCACTCCGCAGGGTCTTCACCTAAGCCAGCAGCTCCAGTGGACCCATGGGGGGCGACTCCCTCTGTCCCCCCCATGAAGAGCAGCGATCCCTGGGCGGCTAACTCCGCTCCTGCCGCCGACCCATGGAGCTCCGCCACCCGACCCAAGAACTCCATTACAGGTGACCACCGGGAAAATAGTTTCTCTCTCTCTCTCTGAGTTCTCTCCATTCCAAAAAACATGTCATGAATAAATAGCTAGCATGCAACGAAATTGCGTTACAAATGTACGTTCTATATTAGTTTCCCAATTATCCAAACTCATTCATACTTGTGTGTGTGTGTGTGTGTGTGTGTGTGTGTGTGTGTGTGTGTGTGTGTGTGTGTGTGTGTGTGTGTGTGTGTGTGTGTGTGTGTGTGTGTGTGTGTGTGTGTGTGTGTGTGTGTGTGTGTGTGTGTGTGTGTGTGTGTGTGTGTGTGTGTGTGTGTGTGTGTGTGTGTGTGTGTGTGTGTGTGTGTGTGTGTGTGTGTGTGTGTGTGTGTGTGTGTGTGTGTGTGTGGTGTGTGTGTGTGTGTGTGGTGTGTGTGTGTGTGTGTGTGTGTGTGTGTGTGGTCCCCTTCCAGGTAGCTTTGACCTGTACAATGCATCCAACGGTACGTCTAAAGAGGACTTCTCAGAGTTTGACAGCCTGCGCTCTTCCGCCTCTGTCCCCACTGGTACTCACCCTTGTCCTCGTCTCTCTAATGCCACGGTGTCTGTGTTGTGTTTCCTCTGTGAAGCCCCTCTGCAGACACCACGTCTCTGCGGGGGCACACGCACACATGTCTTGTCTTTGTATGTAAATACCACCAGACCAGCGCAAACACAGAGTGACATCTTGTATTCTTTAAGCAGCTGATGATGCCTCCACTGCGAATACTATCAAAGCTTGCCTGCTGTTTGCTCTGGTCTGGTCCCATCAGAGGTGGAAGAAGTATTTAGATCCTTTACACAAGTAAAAGTACTAATACAACACTGTACAAATACTCAGTTACAAGTCTTGCATTGGAAATGTTGATTACGTAAAAGTAAGTATAATCAGCGATATGTATGTGTTAAAAATAAAAGCAGAGAAATCTAAATATATGTGAAAAACACCCCAATAATTACTTTTGGATAATTACCTAAATGTGTTATTTGGCTGATTGATTAATTAACTAAGCTGTTCCTGTTTTAAGAAATTGGCTTATTTAATGCATTACAAGATATATTTTCATATTAAAAACAAGACAAAAATGTACAGTATAAAGTAAATACATCTCCCCCTAAATTGTAGCGGAGAAGTCAATTACTTCAAATTTGCACCTAAGTAGAATACTAGAGTAAATGTTCTAAGTTACCTTCCGCCTCTGGCTCCCATATCACTGGTACGGTGTGATTTAAACGTTGTTGTGTTTATCTCTAAATGCTTTGTGAGACCTGTGCCATCCAGTTCACAGAATCCCCTTTAGATCTGTTGAATACATTTTCCAATTGTATCTTTAAATCAAACTCATGAACAACTCCGTCCAGGCTGGTGTGTGTGTGTGTGAGGGGGGGGCTGTGAACAGTTTGGCACAGGTCTTGAGTGTTTTCTCATGTGGTTTGTCAATCTCTTGGTGTTGGAGGGGGACATTGGAGTTTTGCTTTAGCTCAACACAAACACTTTACTGATAGGCTCAAGGTCAAACTTTTCCCAGAAGAAGTCATCCCACGGTCTACAGAGGACACACCATGGATGTATAATAAGAACTGGATACAGCGTGGGAGGCGGGGCCTCGTTCATTCCTATGAGAGTTGCTCATTGGTGCGTGAAGACAAAATGGCCTAACTTTTGAGAGAGAGCGAAACGTCACGAAAGTATTCATATAATCCGTTCTTATTGTGCGTCCATGGGTAAAGGTAAAACTCATGTAGTATTAAACATGAACGGCGCGGTCCCGTTGGTAAGACGGCGTTCATAATGCGCTCAGAATAACGTTATTAGCACATTTTATAACTAGAGGACCGGATGTTTTTAATAAGGGCTACAAATGTTCATACTGGGTAGTTTAAAAAAAGTTATCCAACGATTTACAGACGTCTCTTCCCAATGTTAGTCAATGGGAGAAAGTGTTTTCGGGCCCAGCGACTGATACAGACGTGTAGTACCGCCGTTTGGCCACAACGAATATTTTCCTCAGAGTCCGGCGCACTTCCTGGGGGCTTGGGACACACACTTCAGCGGAGCAGCTCTGAAATCTACAGTATTCAGTTTATACACACACCCCTGTCTGATTTGTATTATGAGCCTTTGTTTGGCTACTACTACATTTGAGTTTTTTAAGAAGACATTTATCCTCTTTGAAATGTCCTCTTGTGTTCGTTGCCTCTGACTTTGTGTGTGTTCATGTGCATCAACGCTGCTGTCTGACTGCTGCGGCATAAAGCCAGCTGTCTGCCTCTGGTGGCCTATCGTAAACGCATCTTCTGATCATTTAATTGCATCAGTTCCATTTTATTTCACGGTAATTGTGAGTGCTCAAGTAGATGCTGTGTTTGGTGTAAGTACAAGCTCGGATTGGAGTTGGACAAGGCAACAAAAACAAGGATAAATACATATATTTAGGGAAGGGCGATATTCAGAAAATTCAATATCATGAATGTTTGATCAAATACGCTGATGTGAGGATTTTGACCAAATGATTTACATAATGAATATTTAAAAAGTAATCATAATGTTTATTAAATTACAAGCAAATAAAGGAAAATAATAAGAAAGCTAGATCAACCAGGAACTTTTACAAAATTGCATTTCCTGTAAAGCGGCCATTAAACAATAGAAAGACGTCATTTACGTCTGATATCCAAAATGTACGATATCTAGGTTCAGATTTTGGTTATCGACATTTTGGTTCCCTAAATGTAATGAGACATGTTTTAATGCCAAATCAGTGTCAGTTCAGTATCACAAATATAAAAATATATGTGACATATTTAAGCAAAATCAAGGTTTATGTGTTAGCTGTAGCTTTGTTATATATAATTATAAATGTATCTGCAGTTTACATACAGTCTTCATGATGACTCAGTGTTTTTGTTCCCTCACAGAGGATTCCAGTCACAGCTTATCATCAATGAAATGCAACCCTTCCTCTCTTCCTCCAGGCAACGGGGGCGTAGCTTCCTCTCTCCCCTCCCAGGCCAGCCTGGCCAGCAGCAGCAGTCTGGACCTCTTTGACCCCCTCCCCTCCTCCATGTCTATGTCCGGCTCCACAAACCCAACCAGGAAGACCCCCGAGTCCTTCCTGGGTCCCAACGCTGCCCTGGTCAACCTGGACTCTCTGGTGACCAAACCAGCCCAGCCGGCGCCCGTCATCAACCCCTTCTTAGCTTCAGCAGGTGGGGGGAGTTGTTCTCTAAACTGGAGACATGGACACACACACACACACACACGCACACACACACACACACACACACACACACACACACAGACACACCCATCTGCACGGTTTAATGCTGAATCATCGACCCTGCCCTAACGAGCAGGAAACTCCAAGAGAAAACGGATCTGATTCATAAAATGGCAGTGGGCTAAAATAATCATTGTTTGATTAATATTTTTGAAGTAACAGAAAGATCAACATTTAGTTCTATTAAATCCAAAACATTTGAGTTTACTTTTAATTTGAGGTTTTCAAATAAAGCTTTGATCTTATTATTATATTTTCTCATCGCCATTAAAACAAATCCCATGTTGTGGCACTAGCCAATAGAACTGCAAGTGTTACATAGTGATGTCATTATGTTACTGAATCAAACAAGGATTCCAATGGAGGCGTCTCGGGCAGGGAGGGAGTGTGGCAGGGAAACTCTCCTTTGCAGACCATTTACATGCACCAAAACATATTTTCTCTTCTCCCTCTCTTCAGGCGTCGCTGCTCCAGCTCTCGCCCAAGCAGCCCACGCCAACCCCTTCCAGGTGACCCAGCCGGTGCCCCCCACCCTCAACCAGATGCGGGTCAGCCCCATGCCCTCCAGCTTCGGGATGGGGGACCCCATGTCCGCCCCCCCGGCGTCCGCCCAGCCCATCACTATGGTCCCCATGGTCCGCGGGGGGCTGCCCGCGGCGATGCAGGCCTCCATGTCTCTGCCCCAGCCCCTGATGAGCATGCCCCCCCAGGCCGGGTCGCAGCAGGCCGGGACCACCAACCCATTCCTCTTGTGAGGGGGTGACCACCAACCCCCTCCCTCTCTTTCTCTCTCTTCCACTTTGGCTCCTTAAGAAGCTAAAAAAAATGAACAAGGAGATGTCTTATCTCATTATCTCTTTTTTAACCAACTCCTAGCCAGGTCCTAGTCCCAGCCTGCCCCCCCCCCACACTTTAACACACTCCTTTTACCCCCCCTCCGTCTCTTTGTCTCAGTGCTACAAGCTGCCTAGTCCTGTGTGTCCATTACTGATCCCACGCTGATGTTGACGACCACAAACAGTTTGCAGCAGTCTACAGACTTACAGAGTAGCAGTGGTGTTTACAGTTTACAGAGTTGGGACAGTCCCCCCCCCCCCCCCCCCCCCCCACACACCCGGTCCTGGTTTTATTCACTCGTCTCCTCTCCTTCTTCCCCTAGGACTCCTTTTTTCTTCTTCTGTGGTGGAGTGACAGGAGAGTCTGCCCATACTAACGCCAGGATCTTATCTCTACACTAGAGCTAATCTTTTATAAGCCCTGTCAGCCGGTGTGTGTTTGTGTGTGTGTGTGTGTGTGTGTGTGTGTGTGTGTGTGTGTGTGTGTGTGTGTGTGTTTGTGTGTTTGTGTGTGTGTGTGTGTGTGTGTGTGTGTGTGTGTGTGTGTGTGTGTGTGTGTTAAAGCAGGGATTTTGCACAATTTTTTCTTTTTGTCTTTCTGTCTGCGACTGTTGGGCTCACCGCTACACTTTAGCTAAGGGAGGCCGACACCCTGCCTCGGCTCGCGGTACCACTCAGTCACAAGTCTCGTCACTTCCTGTCAACTTGGACCTTTTATCCCCCTCCCCCCAAACCTCCATGTGAACTTTGACCTCTCGGGGTCACGGGATTAACAATGAACACTTATCAAAGGAGGTGAACCCCTTGTTTTAGGGGTTGAAAAGATTATGAAATGTTACTTTTGTTTGTACTGTTGATGCTCGGATATTAACAGCCACATGTTGATGTATTTGTCACTAACCGACCCCCCCTCCCCCCACCAAGTGTGTGTTTTAGAGAAAAAGACATGAACTGTGATGGCAGCAGTGTTTTGCCATTTGAACATAAGAGATGCAGTGGGGCATCATGGGACAGTTATTTTTTTCCTTTTTAGTTGTTTCTAGGGTCAAAGGGAAGAGGATGGGTTGTGTGTGAGTGTGTGAGTGAAGTTTGCATGAGAGATAGCTTCCAAGTGTACTTTTTATGAGCAAGTTTAAGATAGTTTCTGAAGTTTAAGTCAAAAGGGGGGGGGGATATAGACATCGGCAGCCTTAAGTGTGTGTGTGTGTGAGATTATGAATGTCAGTGTGTGTGCGCAACCATATATATCAAGGAGTGTTTCCATGCAAAGATAGCTATGGGTTTAACACTGCATCGTGAAAACAGTTTTACATCAGAGTGGATTTACAGCGGCTAATCTCTGCAAGAACATTACCTGCTGGACACACACACACACTCTCACACACTCACACGGTTGTTCCAGGATCGGTGTATTGATAGCACACGGAATCCCGCAGCAAAACAACAGAGCGTCATGTCATGTAAACGAGCAATTTTCTTTCGTCGTTATTTACTTTTTTTTTATAGATGTAAATCCATAGCCAAGCCTTTGAGTTTCGGAGCTGTGTACTAGCTAAGCATCGTATCATCTTCACTCTCGTCATGTCTTTATTATTTTCTGTCATGTAGTTTCTTTTCACCCTATGGGTAGGCTATGTAATTCTCTTCTCTTAGAAGCACAACTGTTACCAAAGTCATAGCGACTGTCGTACTTTGAGTAGATTGAACAGTAGGGTCACACTGACATTTTGTTTCTCTGTTTATGGATCCATTGTTATGATTTGTTTTTTATATATTAGAGCTATTTGTTAAGGAGTTTGTGTAAAACAAAAAGTGTTACTGTTAAAGTGGGCTGATAAATGAATTGAGCCTGATGTGCAGACCCTTCCTCTCCTTAGGTCACTCTCCTCTTCAGTTCTGTTATCACTGCCAATGTTACTTGTCTGGAAGGGGTGTATTTTCTTTTCTTCTTCTGGTGTGCGTTGCCGCCCTCTCCTGGTCTGCTGTGGTATGACAGCTACACCGCAGGACCCTTGGTATTTCCACTAAAACACAGACCTTTATTTCTCTCAGGCAAAAGGAGGGGCAGCTCCAACCGTGTGTATGATTTTGGGGATGCTGAGGGTGATTAATGCTTGGGGGTCCTTAATGAATGGGTGTGACACTTACTTGCCGACCAGCAGAACATTTTAAATCTAAATATATGCAAAAATTGGAGATGGATTAAAAAAACAAAAGATTTGCAAAGGTTAGATTTGCTAATAAAGTCTTGAAATGATATTCTAGCTGTCACTTTCTCACTGGCCTTGATTTCACTGCGGCCTGACCTTTAGCGATTGTGAAAAAAAGTTGTTATGGATGCATTGAAAAACAAAATAACATTTATTGTAATGAACAAATTCAACACTCCCTAACGGTCACTGCAGCTGAAGACTTTTGGACTCATGGCTATGGTGCAGTGAACATGTGGCCTGTGTGTAGCGAGCTCCTCTGCGTGTTACTATGTATTCACTATGCTTTTATCAAGAGGACTAACCAACCTGTCTTTATATGCATAAACAGCTTCCTTTAATCTTTTCCATGTCTGTCTATTTACCCTTTCTCATAGTACTGGGAGCAGGCTGCTGCTTTTTTTTTTATCGGATACGTGCTCGACCTGTTGGCATTATAACTGTATAATATAATTTATCATTTGTACTATTGTAACATACTGTTCCTCTGTATACCTTATTATCCTGTGTAATGGGTTTTTGTAGGAAAAAAGTCACCGTGGTATTTTAACGGCATCTAAACAAACGAACGCAGCAGACCGCACCCTGTCGGATGATCTGTAGCTGCATTGGTTCAAAAATAAAATGTGTATCACTTCCGCTCTGTAACCGTCTCTGTGTGCTTGTGTTTCTACAAACCAATGTCCATTCAACTGCAATGCTATATGCCACTGTAGCGGCCAAAATCCTATAGAACTCAAACAGCCGCCGAGGCACTAGTTAGCGGATCTTACGCAGGGCAATGATCATCCAAGTCCAGACAAGAACCTCCATTTGTGCATTTTATTCCATTAACAAAGTACAATGAACAGGTTTCCTATACCTCTTTTCCTTAAGCCGTTCCTCTGGCTTTCCTTTGTGTGGCTTGAAACACCCTGCTTAAAAACCGTTTGCCTGCTAGTGCTCTGGCTCCCACTTCCACCCGTCTCCAATATATACAATTACACCAGGTGCTCTAATCACCCAGTGCCCAAAACATGCCTTTGTAGTGCCGTGAAAAGAGAGTCGGAGGCGGTGTATTAAGAATGGAGTTCCAATCTTTATTATCCATTACTTTCAGAGAGGTTAACACATGCACTGCTCTGCCTGATGAGCTAGCAGGAATGGCAGCTAAAGCTACAGGTGTTCACCACTAAAGGGTCCGTGTGGCAACACAATAAGCAAGGTGAATTATGTCCAATAACGTGTCACCACACAAGCCCCCCCAGAATTCACACATAAACAAAATCAGCATGGCGGGGAGGAACGACACGCTGACCCCCACGACTCCTGAGCACGGGAGTCGGAAAAGTGACTCCCGCCTGTGCGGCCCCCGGAAGGGGAGGGACCGGAACAACAGGTCTTAAATCCGTGACAGGGGACGTGGCCGGGGGGCGGCCCCGTCGCGGAGGTCGAGCCAGCACCACAGGCTGGTCCAAGTCCAGGTGAGCAGCCTTCACCCGGTCCACCGAGACGTGCTCGGCCTTGCCACCCAGGTCGACCACCAGGTGCTTGTCCCCGTAATCCAAGACCCGGAAAGGCCCATCATAAGGGGGCTGCAGGGGGCCTCTGTGCGCATCGTGCCGGATGAACACGTGCTCCGCCGAGCGGAGCTCTGCGGGAACCTGGGACACCTGAGTACTGTGCTGAGTAGTAGGGATCGGAGCAAAGGCCTCAGCGGCGTCACGCAGGAAAGCCCACTGGGCCGACGCCGACCAGGGAGCCGATGCATTTGGGAGGAAATCCCCCGGAACTCTCAGCGGCTGACCGTAGACCATCTCAGCCGTAGAGCACTGCAGGTCTTCTTTAGGTGCGGTCCTCAGGCCCAGCATCACCCAGGGCAGCTTGTCGACCCAGTTACCGTCCGTAAGGCCGGCCTTGAGGGCCGCCTTCATGGAGCGATGAAAGCGCTCGCAGAGGCCGTTAGCCTGAGGGTGGTAAGCGGTAGTCCTGTGCAGCTTAACCCCCAAACCGCCTGCCACAGCGTTCCAGAGCTCGGACGTGAACTGAGAGCCCCTGTCTGAGGAAATGTCTGACGGGGTGCCAAAACGACACACCCACGTTGCAATGAAGGCCCGGGCAACGTCTGCGGTTGATGTTGAAACGAGCGGAACTGCCTCCGGAGGTAGGAAAACCCCTGAGAGGAAGGCAACGGACCAACCAGGTCAATGTTGACGTGATCAAACCTCCTCTCAGGCACCAGGAAACGCTCCAACGGGGCCTTCGTGTGGCGGTGCACCTTAGCACGTTGACAAGCCACGCACTCCCTGGCCCAAGTCCTCACGTCCCTTTTCAGTCCTTGCCAAACGAACTTCGCCGCTACCAAACGCACCGAAGGTTTAACGCCGGGGTGTGACAGGCCGTGCACAGCCTCGAACACAGGACGCCTCCAGCTGGCAGGGACGACAGGCCGCGCCAGGCCCGTAGAGACGTCACAGAGGAGAGTAATGCCCGCGTCGCCGAACACCACGTCCTCCAAGCACAGCCCCGCGCTCTCCACCTTCAGGGCCTGGACGCCGGGATCTGTGACCTGGTCTGCCGCCATGCGAGTATAGTCCAGGCCCAACTGGACGGCACCGATGACGACCCTGGAGAGGCAATCAGCAACCAGGTTCGACTTGCCAGCCACGTGCTTAATGTCCGTAGTGAACTCCGATATGTAGGACAGCTGCCGCTGCTGACGTGCCGACCAAGGCTCCGCCACTTTTGACATGGCGAAGGTGAGCGGCTTGTGGTCGACAAACGCCGTAAATTCACGGCCTTCCAGCATGAAACGGAAGTGCCGCACGGCCAAATAAAGTCCGAGGAGCTCCCGGTCAAAGGCGCTGTATTTGCGTTCTCTAGACGTCAGCTGGCGGCTGAAAAAGGCGAGCGGCTGCCAAGCGCCCTCCACCCACTGCTCGTGCACTGCGCCGACCGCGTAGTCTGACGCGTCCGTGGTGATGGAGATGGGAGCCGTAGATGATGGGTGTGCCAGCAAAGCCGCCTGAGCCAACGCGGTCTTGACCTCAGCAAAAGCGCCGTCCGCCTCTGCTGTCCAGTCGATCTCCTGGACGGGGGTCTTGCCTTTCAACGCTTCATTACAGCGGCCGCATGATGTGTGCGGCCCGGGCGATGAAACGGTGGTAGAAAGTCACCATCCCCAGAAACTCACGGAGCGACCGGGCTGTGAGCGGGCGAGGAAACGCCGCAACAGCCTCCACCTTCGCTGGCAGAGGTGTCGCACCGCCCTTGGTGACGCGGTGCCCCAGGAAATCGATGTCCGACACCCCGAACTGGCACTTTGCAGGATTGATGATTAATCCGTGTTCGTTGAGCCGTGTGAAAAGGGCTCGGAGGTGGGAAAGGTGCTCCTGCACTGAAGCGCTGGCGACGAGTATGTCGTTGAGGTAAACAAACACAAACGGCAGGTCCCGCAGCACCGAATCCATCAGGCGCTGGAACGTCTGAGCGGCATTCTTGAGTCCAAAAGGCGTTATCACTGCTGTCTTGGGAATGTTCAGGGGGTGCATGGGCACCTGGTGGTATCCACGCACCAGGTCCACCTTGGAAAACACCCCCGTACCGGCCAGATGCGCCGAAAAGTCCTGAATGTGCGGCACCGGATAGCGGTCAGGCGTAGTGGCGTCGTTGAGTCGGCGGTAATCCCCGCACGGACAGAACCCGCCGTTCGATTTGGGAACGATGTGCAGGGGGGAAGCCCAAGGACTGTCGGAGCGGCGGACAATGCCCAGGCGCTCCATGGTTGCGAACTCCGCCCTCGCTACAGCCAGCTTAGAAGGGTTCAACCGCCGGGCCCTGGCGTAGACAGGAGGCCCCCCGGTAGTGACGTGGTGTTCCACGCCATGCTTAGTGGTAAGCGCAGAGAAGGTGCGTAGCGACAGGTCTGGAAACTCGGCCAACAATCTGAGAAACGTGTCTGCACCTGACAGCGAGCCTGACAGCCTGTCGTACGCTGCGCTGCCAAGTGTGCACACGAGGGAAGAAAACGTTAAGGCATCAACCAAACGCCTATTCTTAACGTCCACTAAGAGTCCATGAGCACACAAAAAATCCGCTCCGAGGAGGGGAAAAGAAATCTCCGCTGTCACAAAATCCCAGCTGAAACGCTGTCCTCCGATGCACAAACACATAGGCCTCACGCCGTACGTGCGAATGGGATTGCCGTTAGCCGTCGTCAATCGCGGTCCGTGCCCCCCACGGGCGACATCTTCACTCGACGCTGGAACTACGCTCCGTTGAGCGCCCGTGTCACACAGAAACAGGCTCCCCGAAACGCTGTCGCTGACGAAGAGGAGCCTGTACGTGCCGCCGACGCTCAGAGCCACTACTGAGCGCCGGCCCCTCCGTTTCCCGGGGGTTTGTAGCTGCACGGAGCGATGCATCTCTTCGCCCTTGTCCCGAAACGTGCGTGGTAAACGCACTCTCCGGCGTCTCCACGCCGGCTAGCCACAGCCGTGTCCGGCCTCCGCCACGCTTTCTTGACTGCCGGTGGGCCGCTGAGCGTCGCGGCTAACGTCTCTGCCCCGGGCTGTTGCGTAGCCAGGAAAAAACGATCCGCTTCCTCAGCCAAAGCACGGGGCTCCGTGACAGGCGTGTTGGCCAGCGCCGTCTGTACCCGGGGAGGCAAGTGACGCAGGAAAATCTCCGTGAATAAAATCCGGGGATCTTCCCCCCCTAGCAGATTTAGCATTTTCTCCATTAGCTGGGATGGCTTGCTGTCTCCTAGGCCTTGAATGTCAGGTATCTGGCGGGCCCTCTCCTTAGCAGATAAGCTAAATGTCTTAAGGAGAAGGGCCTTAATCGCCTCATATTTGCCATGATGTGGGGGGGCTGCGATGAATCCCACCAACCTGGACGACGTGGAGCTCCCCAGCGCTGCTACCACATGGTAGTATTTTAGGTCTCCGTCACGGACCTGTCGGTAGGCGAAATGTGCCTCCACGTGTGCGAACCATGCCTCCGCGGCGTGCTCCCAGAATTCCGGCAGCTTTATGAAAACATCGCGCTCAGCCATGTTCGTTAATTTTCCGGAAACTTTCTCGGAAAAGTCAGGGTCACCAGTGTAGTGCCGTGAAAAGAGAGTCGGAGGCGGTGTATTAAGAATGGAGTTCCAATCTTTATTATCCATTACTTTCAGAGAGGTTAACACATACACGCACTGCTCTGCCTGATGAGCTAGCAGGAATGGCAGCTAAAGCAAACAGGTGTTCCCCACTAAAGGGTCCGTGTGGCAACACAATAAGCAAGGTGAATTATGTCCAATAACGTGTCACCACACCTTCAAAATAAAAGCATATAAACTACTTTAACTTATGAGACTAACTAAGAATACATTTATAATAAACACTATAAAACAGCAAGAAAATAAATGTTAAACTATTAAATAATATAAAGAGATATATATAGCTCCAACAGCCACAATATGCTCACTATAGGCCTGGACGATTTGGAAAACATAACTAGTTTTGATTATATTGACTCTTTATATGATGTGTGATATAGGCAGTGTTGTGCTAGTTACTGAAAACCAGTAACTAGTTACCATTACTAGTTACTTCATTTAAAAAGTAACTCAGTTACTGTACTAGTTACTTCATTAAAAAAAAGTAATACGTTACTGTGAAAAG